TAAATAACTTTGGAAGGACAATATCTCCCTGTGAGCGCGAAAGGCTCAAAAACAAATTTTGTCTTGTTCCTCCGGGCCCATGGCGATGAACATTTCGGGCAAATGCCTACTTATGTGGACAGGTAAGAGATGCCCTCGATGTGACAAGGGTACATTGTTAAAGCTGCCACCCAATGTTGGCCACGGGATGCCTAGATATCGTTGCAATCAGTTTGGTTGTCATACATCAATCCTCACCGCCTGCACCCAATCTCTGTAGACGGAAGAGGTGCTAGCCACACACCTTTGCAGACCCAGTCCGCCTTGCTCTTCTTGCTGCTCTGCCGAGCGTCGCGCCCTGCCATCCATCGCATTCTTGCTCTCAACCACAAAGCCATCGAAGATATGGAGAAGCGGCTGAATCATCTTCGCAAGGGCTGGGTGGAAGAGAAGGAGCAGTCAATTATGTTTGGAAATGGCAAGGATTGGACAGATGTGGACCCAGATGAAGCCACCTTCTCAAGCACAGACCTGAAGCACTTGGCCGACAACCCCAAGATGCCCATCATCTGGGAACAGTGCTGTGGCATTGTGCAGCGGGGTTCTCCATGCACACTTGTTTTGGAAAGGTTAACTCCCCAAACGTCTGTTCGGAGAGCGCCCGGTCCAGGTGCAATCAGGAAGGTGGAGTGGCGTCCTCTAGCCACCAAGCACCTCCAGGATCGCGCCATCGTCCTCCACACGGACGCCGCCAAGTCGTACAAGCTGAAAGTGAGCGGCGTTCTCCACGACCAGCCACTGCAAAAAGCGTGTAAAGGTCAAAGGCAAATGGGTGTGGAAAATGCCTACTTATGTGAAGATTGCCGCCCATAAGGGCCCAAAGACTGGGCGCCAACTCAAAACCAAAGGCGGTACCCAGATCATTGATCGTGCCTGGCGCTTTCTCAGAGATCGGATTGAATTGAATCAAAGTTGCCGGGTAGCGAGTCCTCTTTTGCGGTTGAAAATCCGCAGTGCACAGTGTGAGTACTGGCACAGAAATTGTGATCTGTGGACTGCTTCTGGTACCTTGTGCAATTGGCACTTTGCCAAGTGAATTTTGTCTGACTGCTTTGGGGAACAACAGCAGGGAAAAAATTGCATTTGCAAAATGCGTTTGGGAAATGTGTCTTCGACATTCTTGCTGTCTCTGGTACACAACAAAATCATACGGAGTAACACCCGGACTCAGAAACATAGGTTTTGGGGGGGGGCTAGCATATATATATATATATGTATTAATATTTTAATTTTAAAGGAAGGAAAGGAACACATAAATGTTTGGCTTTTTTCATTTGAGCATCAAAGCACCTGAGAACTTAGACTTCATTGCCTTTCAACAACACATATTTTGTTCCTAGTAGCGATGCCCTTTGCTCCTAGTAGCAAGAATGCTACTAGTAACAAGGCCAGGGGCTCCTAGTCGCATGCATCCTTGCTCCTAGTAGCGATGCCAGGAGCCCCTATGATATTTTTGTAGCACCAAACATGTGCTTGAAACGAGTTGTAAAGCACCTTCGGTGTTCTCAACGGCGCCTTACTGGTAGGAATGCACTCGCCCTTGCTACTCGTATGTTTCGTTTGTAAACCAATGCATTTGCAACATTTATATATACATGTGTTTCATTTCTTCAGCACTCTCTCTCTCTTTGGATGTGTGGACCGTTTGCTGAAATTTTTCTTGTCCATATACTACTGGTAGAAACTTGCCTTTCTCGAGGCCTTAGGCTGGCCATGCTTAGCGAAGGCGGAGCAGCGGATCAAAGAACATCGTCCAGACAAATCGGCCGCGCAGAACTCAGCCGCGGCCGTTCAGCCGCGGACCTTCTGTGCAGAACACGCGACATAGAAGACTCCAACCTGATAGTTTCTTGCTCCTAGTAGTGATGCCAAGAGCCCCTAGTAGCCTCCTTGT